CTGTACTCTAACTCTGAAATCTTAACTCTGGAGAATTTGCTTTGTGTGCTGAGATGGCTGCTCATCAGTTTGTTTTGTCCTATTTTGACAAAGTACAGGACTTCATTGTAACACTTTCAGTTCCTGATGAATCAGGAATTTCTATCCAATTTCATCATTTTGTGAAAGTAGCTAAATTAAAACCTCTACAAAAAGCCAGTGGTTCTGCGGTAAGGACTAAAGGTGCTGGCTGGCTAAGAAGGCAGATCATTCTCCATCAGGTTTGCTGATGAAATGTCTTTTTTGAACCATTGTTTGAATTTTCTTAACATGTATGCTTTGTTTTGTCTTTTCTTCAGCTTGCAAATCTGCATCGTGTCGTCATCTGCACCATGAAGTTGTTATCTGTGTTCCTCCTCCTTTTCTCCATAACGGAGAAATGTTCACTGGCACATGGTGACGGTGAGTACTCATTAAATATAAATAAATCATAATGTGACAAACATACGAAATCATGTTTAAAAGATCTAAAGCCCCAGATGATGGCTCTCCTGGTGACGGTCAGTGAATGTTTTTATTTCCTCTGCATTAGAGTTCAAAATGCAAATTCAAAAATAAATCTTCTTGTATCATTTGTACTCCTTCTCCAGATTATTTAGCTTATTATCTTAACATGTCAACACTGTATCTTTCAAAGTACACACAGTTATTTCTCATCAATGTGAGTTATTTTGTAGAATAAATTTAACGTTACATCATTTTGATGTTGTAGCTTGTCACAAATAACAGGCTTGCTATAACACTCATGCCAGCTACCCCATTTTATCTGAACTCTGCATTTGCTTGTCAGAAAAAGCTAATTTGCTCCAGAGATCTGTTGAGTGTCCCTCTGGCTGGACTGCAATCAACGATCGCTGTTTCCGCTACGCTGGCAAAACCAAGACTTTTCCTCCAGCTGAAGTGATTTCAGACAACAACGTTCTCTTCATTCTTTTGCTGTCTTTTATTTTACAGTTCTTAATTGTGAAAGTCCAGCTACTTCTTCAGCACATCATTATGTTTTTATCTGTAGGAACACTCTCTGACCTTGGAGGCAAACCTTGCATCAGTTCACAGCAAAAGCGATTATGAACAGATTCAGAAACTGGTATTAAAGGCAACTGGTCTCAACACTGCAGCATGGATCGGAGGCTCTAATACACTGCAGGTATTGTTACCAGTACACTTTGGTTGTTAAGTATTTTGTGAAACATTGAATAAAACATGTCATCTGCTGTATCCAGTCAAGGGCTTTTAAGTGGAACGATGGAACCCCTATGACCTACACAAACTGA